CTATATATATATATATATATATATATATATATATATATATATATATAGATTCTACTGTATCAAATTCTGTAGCACCGTCTACTATATTGCTACTATTTCTATAAATCATCTACTAAATTGCTGCTATATCATATTCTGCAGCATCGTAATCACAGATTGCTATGACTAATTTCAGCACCCAGGTGGTAGTGAAGTTTTGCTGAAGCTAGCTGGTCTTGATGCTACGGAAGAGTACGAAGATATTGGACATTCAACAGATGCTCGACTTCTAAAGGAGAAATATTTGGTGGCCGAAGTAGTTGATGTAAAAAAAATGGTTTTAAAAAAAGCTTTTTCTTTTCAAGCTTTTTGAAAATTTTGTCTGCTTTTTTTTTGCAAACCATAGGCAATTTTTCAATCATTTTTTTGGTCTACTGTAAAGATTTTTACATATTTTACGTTTGTAAAACTTCTATTAGTTTTTCATATCATAAAATTAGCTTTGGATATGGTGAAAACAACACCAAAATTCCTTTTAGTTTGTAAGAAAAATAATGGATAAAATTTTCAAAAATCTCTCTAGAATTGATGAATAACTATTAGTATTCGCATCCTTATGAGATCTTTGTCATCATTTATTTCAGGAAGAAAAGATGACATATTCACATGATAGGGATAAATGGTTCGAGAAAGAAACTGATGTAGGTGAAAACAAAAGGTAGTTTTAGCAAAAAACAATTTATGAATGCAGCTCTAGAAAGGAAAAAGCTATTTTAAATTTAATCTCTATCTTTACATAACTTATCAGGACATCTTCTTGGAATTAATGGTTTACTCAAATATTTTAGAGTATGATAATAATGAAGTATTTTAAATTTAGGGACTCGGCTACAATGGATCTGCTGGTATATTTTGCGCCGTTGGCCATAGTATTTGCTGTCATATATTACTTCTTGTATTATTAATTCATTTTATTCGTATATTGTTTAAAAATTTATATTTTTCTCAGAACTTTGGATTTTTTTCCAGTTCATTGCATTCATTTTATTCCTTTCCTGCCCTTGTGACAAAAAGAAGTCATATGAAATTTCTACAGTTGTTTCTTACAGGAAATTCATCAAAGTTAAACTAATTTTTGTTTTAATTAAATCTATCTAACACACTAAATATTATGTGACATACTCATTGATTTAGGTGCACTTCGTATACGGAAAGGTTACTATCAGGACGATTGATCTTCGTCCATCTGAAATTTTCGGAATAGATCAAAAAATTTACACAGTCAAAAGTGAACAGAAATTACTCTTTGATATTCATACATAACCCAACTTATTTCAAAACACCTCTAAGACATCGCTTTTACAAGGAAATTTGAGCCTCTATCTTATTTTTATTTCATAAAATCCTTATAGATAATCATATCAAATTTTTTAACTATCCATTTGGACAGGAGAAGTAAGAGACAAATGATCTTCATGAAAAAATGATATCATCTGCGGTGCGCAATAATACAGCGTAATCAACAGTAGTAGTTCGAGCAAACAATTTGCAGTATTTGACATCATAATCTTGGTCCTATTCTGGAAAATAGGTTCTTTTTTTTTAAATTGGTTCCTTTAATTATCATTATCGTATAAAACTATATATTATTAAACCATTGTCAAGAACCACATTCCGGAATGGTATTAAAACACCAATCAATTTATAGCTTCGTTCCGTCAAAGTTCATAATTGCAATATGAGTATGTCCTAAAAAGGGTTTTGCCTTTGGCGTTGAAAAGGTAGTTTTTTTCTTTTTTTTGTCTTTGGGAAGAAAAATCCGAATCGGAATATGAAGAGGGTTTTTCGGCTAAAACAACATTGAGCCAACAGAAGAATGTGTGACTTCTAATCCAAAAGTAATAAAAATGATGAGGTAAGAGACGAGAAGGTTTGGTCTGTTAGCGAATGGAAGCAAAAGGGACTAGAATTGATTCTGAGCATAACTTCCATCATATAAAAATTTTTCAACACTTCTTAGAAGATGAATCCTGCAAGCTGCATCACTACTGAATTCCAGGGAGACAGGATTTTCCACCTGAAAATTTCTATATTTCATTTTGACCTGTGAAAAAAAGTATCACATTGTAGGTAGCATTATATTTAGCTTGAGCTATCACGAACAGCTAATCACGTTGATATAACTCATTCCAGGATGTTCATAAATCATAATAGGTTCTTGGCTCTTGCCCTATATTCTTGTGGAAGTAATATTAAAATTGTGAAATTATTATATAAGACCTGTTGAACTGTTTGGAATTTTTCTCTCAAACAAGGTATTCTTCATGTTATTACCGACATCATCCTATATATTTTGATATTCCATTCAAACAGTTCTGATGTATTGATGTTTTAGTTCTATAGATAAATAAAAATTTCAATTTGAAGAAAATCAGAAAATTCAGGAAGAAATCAGAAATGAAATTAAAGAAAATCGCAAAAAAAAATGAGGAAAAAAAAACTGAAATAAAATAGTAAAGGAAAATCAGATTGATCAATTTTATTGTGATACATCGTTTCCGTCATTTAATATTCCTAATTGTATATCCGGACAGATGCTTATATTTCAGGTACTGTTGTAGGATCTGTCTGGACAACAATTATTTATCGTTGCTGTTTCTCTCTGAAAAGAAGAATATTTGAATGAACAGCTTTTGGATAAATTTTTTAAATCCTGAATAGAAACTATAGTGTTTGTACAATGTTAAAATGATATGTTTGCGATGATGATAAGCCTAAAAGAATTAAAAGCTGCTAATGAAACACATATGATAATGAATTTCAGTTGATTATCGATGATTACAAATGTTTCCGAGTGAAATAAACTCTTTAATCAGCGTACTTCCTTATCATTCCTGTTAACTTTCGCAAATTATTTTGAAAAAGGAAAAAGAAATGTGATGCTGAGATTGGTACCACACTCCTCATTTCCTGGATTCGTTCGTGATACTGATTTCAAACCTGGCAAATTTCTTCAATGCAGTCAAATACTTCAAATTGATCAGTGTCCTACTTTATAAGACTTTTTATAATTTCACAATTATAATTTATATCAGGTCCCAGTTTTTCAGTTCCATTTGCATGCAAAATTATGTCACGATACAAATAACGATTTTTTTTCTATTTCGAGCTTAATTCTTCTCAAAAAATTATATCGCAATTTTAAAAATGTGATTTAAACTCTCAAAATTAAAATATAATTTGTGGGGAGAAACTGTATTGGTAAGAAAATGATTAATGTTAAAAAATTTCTTTTGGACCACTTTTAAAAAGGTTGCTTTTTACAGTGAAAATTTTCTTTCTGACATTAATGTCTTGCATATTTTTACTTTTTTTATTTAATCCTTATCATTTCGTTCTAGTAATTCATTTATCACTAAAAAATGAAATTGACGTTTGGTGTTGAAATTTCATCGATAAAAATGCATATTATGCTGAAAGCGAAGAAATGAATTTAACTTACAGGAAGGAATGAAATACTGAATATTGAAATACTGAATACTGAAAGGAAATGAAATACTGAATATGTGAAAAACTGAATATTTTAATAAAATCGAACCTCCTGAACCTGTTTGTATTTATTATCTCTGAAGCCTTCAAAAAATATTACTTTCGTCCGCGAAACATCATTTGCTGTTCATAGGGTAGTACAAATTTTGGCGGCAAGAAAAACAACTTTGATCGATGCAAATTACACATACCCAACCAGCCTTGTAGTTTGATCATCAGACAATGTCTCATTAATCGTTAACTGATGCTTGCTAATAAATTCAACAAATTATATTCTTTATTTTTGGGGATATTTTAAAAGCCTGAAATTGATATTAAATCGAATTTTGTATAATTTTGTAATTCGCAGCTGATTTTTGGCTACTCAACAGATGATATGTCAGTGAACCAAATAAATATGACTAAATTATTTCAACACTTATTTAGTTTTAAACGAAGCGATTGCTGAATGTCAGGATTAAAGGTGTTTGTTGTATAAGGGTACAATTAGTTAACGAAATTTCAACTTATTACCTCATGAATATATGGTCTGTAGAATGAAGTTACGGCTCTGGGCAACGATCTTGACCATTGCTACTGAGATAGCCGCTGTGTCATCAAAAAAGGCTGTTCAAGCCAGAAAAGAGAGCTTCAACAGGTCGTGTTCTTTCGTCATTTTTGTAAATAGAATTATTTACACAATGTGACATTTCATAAAATATTATTCAGTTTGAAATCATTTTCTGTAGATGCAACTTCAAAATTCGTTATTTTAGTGAATGAAATTTCAAAAATTTCATTCACAAATCTTTTTTATTACGATGAAAATTAATTTTGTTACAATTTGAGTTTCGAAGTTAATCCTTGGTCAAATTACTTTAACAATTTTGTCAGGCTCAAAAAAGTTCCTGCTCAGATCGAATTTTAGCACAAATAACAACAAGCCAAGACAATCATCTTCAAAAGAAATAATCAATCAAGTATGGACCAGAGTAAAGCGGTTAGTTAAAGAAGTATATGACGAAATTTTCTGGGCAATCGCAGGATTTTTCGACGGCAAGGTCTTTTTTCTGAGAAAAAAAAAACTCATCAACCTAAGTTTTTTTTTTTAATAATGATGAAAACTTTTGCATACTAACAACGTCATCTAATCTCATTTGAAATTTCATTTAATTTTCGGGACGACTAAAGCTACACGAAAATTCGGATAGCTGTATAGTCTTGAATGATTAAAGTTTAGGTGACCCGTCATACTCTCGCTTTTTTCATGAAATTCTAAAATACTAATTGAGTTCGCTTGGAAAAATTATACTAATCTTACGATGTAGGAAAAAGGCTTGGAAGGAAATTAAGTTTTATTTCAGCGCTCATACACATGGAATGTATTCGGAAAAACCATCCGGATTGTAATGCCACGAATGCCACGTACCGGGAAGGAAATTCAAGAACAATTAATTACTATTAAGAAATTTATCCCTCAAAATCCTGCGGATCGATGTCTTACTGCAATTTACATGAACATAGCGTAATTATTTCTTCTTATATCTTCAACAAATTCTACTGAGATTTGAAAAATTGTAAGATAACAGATGGAAATATTATTCAGAAAATGAGGAACACTGTGATAGCAAATTATTTTCCTTAAAAAACAAACATATCTATTTGCTCATTTCAAATTTCTATCTATTTGTCCAACAAATTCCGAAATTCTTAAATCGAAAATAAAATGTTTAATAATAAATCCTTTTTTAGGGTTTTTATAATTGGTTACACAATATTATTTACTTATAATATCTACTGTTATTTTCGCTACCGGCGAGGATGGGCGGCTGAAGCAAATGGCCAAATGATATTTAAATTAAATCATTCGACGGATGACTTAAATTTACCGAGAAAACTGTCATCTGCTATCAGGAAGTAAAGTTACCATTGTCTTTCAAAACTGGACTCTTCATTCGATTTAGTCATCTCTTTGCTGGACTACTTGCATAGTTGCGCATAGAAGATTGCAGTGTTAACCAGAAAATGTTTAGTTGAATGGCAATTTCTCGATCTTGTAACAGTACTTACTTGTTATGCTAAAAAGACCAGTCCCACTATCCCGCGATATCCCATCTCATGATTTATATATAGAAGCTGAGGAACTGACTATACCATTCCAGTTCATCGTTCAGGTGCAATGAAACCAACAATTTTCGAAGACGAATTTATCCTGAAATTTATATTTTCATATTGACTGGTTCACTTATCAATCCAACTTTGTACTTTTATTAATTTATTTTTGTTTATCTTGTACATTTCTATCAAATAATTAATCCATCAATCAATTAATGATATGTAGACAATGGCGTCCTAACTTTCTGAAAAATTGCCGAACTTTTTTTATTTTTTCAAAAAGAAAATGTGATTTTTTTTCTTCAGCGTAGCAATAATAGCACCAAGACAAGCTTCTATCAGGTCACCAATAAGTCCGATGAAAACAATTTTAGAAAAAGGAGAAATGATAAGAGATAAAGCTGTAGAGAAAAGCACAGCTAAAAGATTATCAATTAACGGTTCTAACAAAGGAACCGGATTGTAAACTGCTCATAATATTTAGCATACATATATCATTCGTTAAATTAGGCAGCCACCTATCATATAGGTACTAAAAGCACCAAAAGAACCAAGCATTAAATAATGTCAAGGCTGGAAAGAAGACGTGTAAGGCGCTAGAACATCATGATCTGCAGAAGTTTGAATGTTTCAAAAACTTAATGAGTCGATGGAATCTTATTTTCTTGTCATATTGTTTGCTCAACCCAATTAATTAATCATACTTTTCATGAGATTTAACAAAAATCACACTTCTTTTCTGTAGAACGAATAAAATTGGTTCGCCACAACTCAATTCAGAAAGTGATAATCGAAACAATAGTGTGAAATTCAGTTCTACCTCTTTCATTTTTTTTTCAGTTCTCTAGATATATGGCAGGGTTACTTCAATGAAAATTTCAGTTTTTTCTTGAAATTCGAAAAATATTGTGAAGAATTTTTTCAATTATTTGAATTATTAAAGAAATTCGATTGAAAAAATAATTTATTTCTACAAATCTGCCTTCAGAGTTGATGCGGAAATATCACAAAAACGGGAATTGTCAATGACTGATAGTGTAACACCGCTGGAAAGGATCAGTGAGTTGGAAGAAGGGTTTGCTTTCAATATATTTGATCTTACTTTGACTCAGGTTGAAGAAAGCAATAGTTGATATTTCTGATTATGTTACGAAAAGTCGATAATTACTTCTGCTCTCAAGAAGGAGATGAAATTGCCATATAAGTTAGAAAAACCAGAATTGCTTTTTTGCATGTCATATTCTGACTGTTTTTGGAAATGAAGCAAAATATCATTTCCAAGAAGTTTGGGACCTTCGAATTTTCTCAGTATAAAAAATTAATTAATTGGTTTATAGTTTACTTGGTGTGCCAGAATTACTGGATGACAGCGATGAATTGTCGTCTGCATCATTAATAGGGTTATTCTGCTTACATTTTATGAAATCGAACTTGAAAATAACAGGTTTGGTAGAGGGATATTTTATTTTTGAAATTTTGTGTTAACACTTTTGGTATGCTTGGAAAATCCACTAAGAAATTATGAATGCCAAAAAGCAACTGTTAAATTTTACCAATCTTAACTACAAATCCAGCAAAGAACTGACGAGGAATCGAAACTTGCTAGAAATTTTAATATTACCTCTTTGGAGAAAATCAAATTAAATGGGATTGAATAATTCAATTATGGTAATCTAGCAGAATATCCCTACGAAATCGGTAATCTTTTAAAAGATAAATGACAGTATTTTATAAATAGTTGAATTAGAGAGAAAGTTTTTGAAATGATTGCAGGATGGAAGACAGAAATTCACTCTCAAGATTCCTCAATGACGCTAAAGAGGCTAAAGACTTCTTTAGAGTGGATGAAAATTATGATTGTAACATTGCTCAGCATGGAAATACCACTCAGCAGAATGCGGCGACATTACAATAGTGGATGTAAGGATCGAAGAGGGATGAGAATTATAGACTAAATGCTACGATGATGGGAAATTCCTTAATGAAAGGTGTAAAATGATTGTGACAACAAATTACTTTCTAGTAATCAGAGACCAAAATTCCTGTCTTGCTCATTATAAATTAAAGAAAAAGTTTTTTATTTGGCATTGTAGAAAAAATTTATTTACTAAAGTTGCGTCTCATCTACTGAAGTTGTCGCATACGTTCTTTCACTTTCGTGATGATGAATTTATTCCTGAAATATTTATAACTTGAAAAGGAAAATTACAGTTGTCTGTTGTTCGTCACTTCAATAAATCGTTCTTTTTTCTTTACAAGCAAAATAAACATGGAGTGTTAAACTTTAGCTGTCAAAATTTCCGGAAAAAAATATACTGTAAGGTAGAATGGATTGGAAATATAACGCACAAGAAGCAATGAATCACGTTAGACCGGATAAGTTACCTCCCGGTTAGCCCTAATATTGCTAGCGTATTCCATTCTACGTTTCTGATCTTGGAGGAATGGTACAAAGAAGTGGAATAGAGAGCTGTAAGATAAAGCAACGATTTCTGGAACGGCAGATTGCGTATGGGAGAATGGTCGGTGGTGCTGGTGGAAATCAAGGAAGAGCGTTGGTATGAGGGATGACCTCTTTCGGGAGTGCCGTTGGCAACGGGAACTCCAAGTAATGGAGAGCATACAGTAAGAGTAGAGTAATATGGTGGAGGGAATTCGAAATGAATGAAGCGCAATTTGGGAAATGGATTTGAAGGAGCAAATAATTTTATAAAGATTTCAGTTATCTAACAGACTATGGCGGCAACAGTTCCACTACTCCTGGAAGAAGATATCGAACTTGGCTTACCTCCCATGTATGAGGAAGCACTGAATGGAAAACGAACATTGCAGAATTGTCCACTGGAACACCACCGGTCTTTTAATTTCAGTCCCGGCAAGACAGTAACAAACTTGACACCTGTTATATATGCCACTGTCGCTATTAGATTAGGTATCGTCTTGTTTGTTATGACTCATCTATCTCATCTTTATCAGTTCGCTTACCGGACACTTTATCTTTTGTTATTTTAGCTGTACGTAACATAAGAAATTCATATTGGTGGGACATCTTAGTCACAGAAATCCTAGGTTAAAAATTCAGTAGTAGAAATGCTACGTGTTCTTTATGGCCATCATTGTGATTGCAGCTGTTTTGTTCACAAATAATTTGTACGACTATTATTGGTACATGAAGGACAAGTTAAGGAACCTCAAATAGTTTTACCCGTCAGTATTCCTCGTAGTGTGTAATAGTTTTCAGGATTTCTAAGAAAAGTCTTTGGTATACTGTTTTTGCAACTGTTCATAACAGTCATACTTTGCACGGCATTGTACGTAACGTCAGAAATTCGTCTTTTTTTGCAACAGCAGTGAGTTTTTTTTCCTTTTTGGTGTTGATAAGAAGTACTTCTCCCTCTCAGTCTTTCCTTTTGAATCGGCATTGGCAGTTGTTTGTTTGTTTGACTTTATTATTTGAAGGTCAAAAATTTATAGTGCAAAAGGCCTTAAGAGTTGGTCGGTGCGACGTTTTGAATGAGATTAATATTGTCCACCTATGTTTGATCCTTCATATGATATCCTGGGTCCTTTCATCCATTCCGTTTACTTTTCCGATTAATTGTCCTTGCGTGCCTATTATAGCAGTCGTTGAGATAGCTCCAAAAAGGAATCCAGCTAATAAATTAGTTAAATTCTCTTCTCTAAAAACTGAAAAGAACTCACAATAACTAAGATATGGGAAAGACATCATATCTGGCTGCAAAAATTAAAATTACGTCAAAAAAAGTAGCCACTCTCAGAAGAGGTAGTGCATATATCCTTTCAGGAATCATTAATTCTTGCTTTTATTCCGAAATAAGAATTGTAAAAGAAAATATTGTTCCAACCTGTTTTACTTTGAGGTCATGGATCGTACTTGTTTCTCTCATTGGCTCTTTCATTCTACTTTTTGCAATGTTTATCCACGCCCGTTCGGTACCTCTCAACTACATATTATTGGTATCTTGGACTATTATGCAGTCCATCACTGTAGGTGCTGTTGGTAAGATCTTAGAACGTTGTTATTTGCAGCCAGAGAAAAATCGTGATGAGTATAACTTCTTGTTGACCATTATGTTTGTAATTTCTCTATTCTGATGAAAAGGATGAATCAGTGATATTGAATGTGTGACATCATTATTTAGATTAGAATATCATTTGAAAGCGAGATGTAACCAAAGTCTCAACCTATATCAGTTTTATTTTTTAAATTTTTGGGTGCTTTACTAATTCCTCTGCTTATTGCCATGGATATTCCATCAATCTTTGGAATGCTTCAAAACTTGACATTATGTAATAACATGTTGATGTGAAGTAGGCTTAACAATTTGGACCATACCAAATTCCATCGCACAGTAACTGATACTGGTGATGGCACGCATTATCATATCTCTTAATATAAAAAAAACACAAATGTTTTCAAAAAATAAGTCATGTGAGCAGGTGCTCAGATGTTCTTGAAAATAGCGGTATAAATTTCAAATTTTTTTCGGAACATCGAAAAGATTCTAATACATTATTAGAATATTGAATTTGCGGTGAATTTCAGTTTCCTTCTTCGAAGTAGAGGTCGTGATTGAAGCAGTTGGTCTAACGACATTGACTGTTATTGGCCTTTTCGTTTATACACTGCAATCAAAGCGTGATTTCCAAAGTCACTGGGCTGCCTTATTCAGTGTTTCCATGGTTTTCCTGGCTGCTGGTTTTATAAATGTAAGAGTTTCTTCTTTTTAATGGAACTGGATTTCATTTCAATTTGACTGCAGCTGTAGAATTTTTAATTCCACCAATTTTTGGGTATAGTTCATCTGTATTTTATGCTTGCAAAACATTGCATATTGCAGCATTAATATAAAGTTATCATATTTAATTTATCACATTATTATAGTAATGCGATTTTTTATCCAAAAACAAAAGATTTTTAAAAGCTATTATTCAGTTACCTTCAGAAGCAGTTATAATATTTAAACAGTGCAATGGTATTTTTTTATAGCTGCTTATACAATCAGCATTATTTGATTTCCTGGTAGCTACATTTGGTGCTGTTTTATTTTCCATATATTTGATATTCGATATTGATCGTATCATGCATCACACTTCACCTGAAGATTATATCGAAGCATGCGTATCATTGTATTTAGATATTATTAACCTATTCTTGGAAATATTGCAGATTTTAAATGAAGCTAGTCGAAATTAGTTTGATAATTTCACTGGCGGAAGTTTGAGTTACTTTATATTATTTCTGAATGGATCGTATCAGTTTTGTGTTATTCCCATAGATTCTATAAATTAAAGATAGTGAATACACTAAAAATTCCTACATAGAGTAATTTCAGCTAAGCACCCATTTCTCAAAAATTTCTAGATAAGTTCTTTGTGGCATGAGCAACTGTGTTTTTCGGTGAAAACTTAGCCCGCAGTAATTGTCCAATAATTTTTATTTATTTCATTACATGATTCAGTTTCATGTTTCGATAACATTTATTCTATCCTTTTGTCGAAATGGTGGTAGAGTTTTTCCGAGAAAACTTTTTAGTGGGTTGTACAAACGAACGCGACACACTCTTCGGTCGCGTTAGCTCTGAAGAGCCATTCCAGCTGGAAATTAGAAGCGTATTTCACGTGTTCCATTTCGTCTGATGTGTATATATGGGATTTCATGTACAAAAATAATTATTAAATTGACTGTTGTATTATGCATACTTTTTTCCTTCCTCAATGATCAGGACTACCAGACTGGTTCTCCAAGCATGTGAGTTTAGTAACTTCTGAACTGAGTCTTCCATACCTCATGCTGTTACCAATTTCTTCCTTTTATTATTAGTACGGACCCCTTTTATCTTAAAAATGATCGGCTGACACTTGTGGGAATAAATACTAACAGTTCCGACAGTTAAGTAGTCCAGTAGCAATAGAACTTTAATAATTTAAGAATATGTAACCGATAAATATGCAGATTTTGATAAACTTCCATGCTGTATATATTTCCTTTTGTGAATACTAATAGTCTTTCCGGATTATAAACTGTAATAAAATAGTCTGTTGACTTTTGTTTCTCGAGGACGATCTTCCAACTGGGAAAGGTCAGCTGCAACGCTAAACTTTGCATTAATGGTCGATAATATAATCGAATAACGAACAAAACATCGTGTCCATCATTCGATTATATTAAATTATGCAGAGTTTAATGTTGGAGTTGACCTTTTGTATGCATTTTATACCTGGATAGTATTTTTTATCATGCAAGACACGTGAAATTTTGGTATTATAGATGAAATATCGTTTGACTTTTGTGTTGAAATATTAAGAGAAGCCTTCTTGTATACTGTTTGCTCATGCAGAAATCAATCATGATGGTGAAGCCGTAAGTTTTAAAAAAAGGACCGAAGAAGATGCGATGTAAAAATCAGAAATATTATGTCGCTGATGAATTCACATATTGATAAAAACACCGAGACGACATTGAGTTCATTTAATTTTTTTGACAAATGCCACCGACATATTGAACTGGTCAAGTTGTGCTTTGGTATAATTCAAGTTCGGACTAATTTCTTAAACCGGATAAATGGCAAGCAATAATTTCCTCCATTACTTTTCGGCAAACCAAGTGTTCCAGACCAACTCTCGCAATCTCTTGTCCGGAACGACAAAATATTTCGCACCGCGATGCGCTGCAAATCATGGACTAATGCATTCAAATAGCATTAACGAAATAATAAATAATAATAATAATGACAAGTAGTAAAGTAATAGTAAATTAGTAACAATAACAAATGAAATTCAAAAAAGTATCAATACAAGACATCATTTACAATTTACTTCTGTGATAAGTGATCCTGTTGTATTGTTGATGCACACGTATGATTTGATCATAACTTATCAAGATTTCCAGGAGTGAATGATCTACACCGTTCTTAGCTTCACGTCAGGTCCGTCCAGGAATACTTTATATTTCTCACGGAAACCAAAATAAGATTTGACGTACACAAAATCCATTAATTAATTTAAATCATTTTGTTGAATGATTTATATATTACCTCTTGGTCGCAACTTGTTTGTACCTGCAACATTCACTGTTGTCGCGTCCATTTGAGGCACACTGAAGAATTGGTATGATATGTAAAACTGCGCAAAAACTTGCACCGATGATCGTACTTATCTGAAATTTAAAAACAGTCTTTTATGAGCAGAGGATTTATGTCATTTGAAGTATACTAATAACATCATTTATGGAAATTCAAAAATGAACAGATGTCCTGAAAGTTTGTCAATTGATAAAATAATGATATACTAACAGTATGTGTGTGTGTGTGTGTGTGTGTGTGTGTGTATTGTTATTTGGAAAATGTTTTACCTCACTTTCCTTGACATCATATTTGCAGGAATGTTGACAACCTGCTGGAAGCATTTTGTTGCGGCAGCATTGTTCGAATTGAGTGTTTGCTTGTGAAATTGATATGCATGGTGAAAAGTCCGGTGCTGTGCCACATTGTGCTGTAAATACTTCATTTTGAAAAACCATTCAAGTTTTCAAGTCTTATTAATTCTTTAATTAATGTCATTTGTGATTAGTCATTGGTAACTGAAATTACTCAGTGGAAGTATGCCAATACTTTTTTGTGAAAGTGAGCAACGAATCTCATACTCTTTTCTAATTTAGCCAAGTTGCTATTAAAGCCAATGAAATTACGACTGTGTAGCCAATTTAATGTTGGAGTGACATGATATACCATGTTAAACGGACGTATTTTCCAATTTGTTTCTTGTAAATCTTCCTGAACTAAATAAATTTATTATTGAAAATGAAAGGACCGTTTTATTTTTTTAAATATTAATGATTAATGCTGGAAATGTAAACATTTATAAGCAGTTCCGATTATTCCAACAGATAATGTCATAACAGCAGTAATTGAAAGGGAAACAACGATAAATGAGCTAATTTTAGGCCGTTCAAGCAAAAGTATTTCTTGAAAACTTTAATTTTATAAAAACGAAAAAAAAATTCTACAGGAAATTTCAGGTATGGTACCAATTATATATGCTTACGTTTGAGAACACATATCGAAATGATGATTGAAAATGCAGTTATCAACTTCTTCAAAAGACGATATAAGTTGATAAAATATGAGAAATCATTTGATCATTCATTAAGTAAGCACACAATATCTTACGCAATGTGTAAAATATTATTTGTGTTTACGTTGAGTAAAACATTCAGAAAATTTTATATTCAAATTTTCAGGATAGGAATAATTATAACCTGGTACCTGTGGTAAACAGTGATTGAGGCTCTAACGTGGTATCGAATGGCTCTAGGCCAAAATTTGGTGCTATTTTTGGTGTGACAAGTGATATCACATCTTCTGTTACTTCATCATCCTCGTTACTTGACATGCTAATTAATGACTCATTTGCGTCACTGTTTGTCGGAGCTGGTAAGTATCTTTTTTGGGGTAAACTTCGAGACAACGGTTTTCGGCTTGTCCCTCTCTGGAATTTCTCAAAATTCTATGTGTTAATGTTATCATTCTTCGTTTTATATTTCTGTGCTTTTTGATTTTGAGCTTAAATTTTGCATATTATTTGAATTCATCAATTTATATCAGATTGTTAGCATTGTCATAATTATTGATATCCAGATAGATCTAACAAATTACCGAAATTAATACTGCGGTACTTTAATACGGAGAAATAATTACCGTCATATGTATTAACAAATACTGATCGATTCCATTAAGCATTGGTATAAATCAAATTTAGATGTAAAATTTGACCAAATTTTTATAACATTGCAATTAATTTTTCTGAGTGACAAATTGGAAAAGTGATGAGAGAAGTTGTTGAGTATGATGTTAATATAAATGAAAAGAAGAACGTATGGAGTATCATCGTTAATAAAGTGTTCTAGTAAAATGCAAATAACATTTAAGATAAATGTAATCCTCACAGGTAGTGCTGAGAGATAACTCTTAAATGCTGCTAAATTTTTTCAAAATCTTTGGTCCCTTCATATTTTCGAAAGTCTGGGAAAGTCAAAATGAAAAATGACAGTCACTAATTTATGTCATATTTCGCATGGAAACCAAAATATTAACTTTAATATTTAATCCTATACATTTTATGACAAATATTTGAAAGGAAGTACCATTTTAAAGCCATTGCGCAGATCGGTATCACCGTCGTTCACACCATTTTTGTAAACCGTTTGTGGTCCAACCACCAGCTGTTTCAATTTCTTGTCTGAATACTTCTTTTTGGAAAACAGGATTAGTAAACTTATTGTAACAGTAAATTAATTTTGTAAATTTAGAACTAACCTGCAGCTGAGCTTATCTTGGATTCATTGGCTGTTGTAGACATTTTAATGGACGAGCCAACGATAGTTGTGGCAGTAATGTTCGCAAGAAATGAAATAAGTTTTTCATGTCAATTGAAATAATAATTTGCCAAATTAAATTTCAAACAGTTTATAGCTGTGATTTACTATTGGAAGTTGTCACTGTGCTTCTGTTTGCATTCTTTTAACAAATTTATCTGTAACACTTTGATGTCAACTTACTCATCTACTGATCTAAATAGCGCCACATCCTACGCTGCGCAATTTTAACTGAAAAAACTATTTTTGCTTTCTAAAGTGGTCGGTAAATCATAACAAATCAAATTCGTTTTCTCAACATAATATTATGAATTCATTACTGGACCATGAAATGAATTGCATGCAATTGCGTAATGCTTCTTGTTATGCTGCAGTTACTAAACAGGAAGTTTTTAAGTGAACTGCATTTGCATGTATTAAAAAGATTGCTAGACTAAGAATATAAGAAAGCGAACCTCGTTTATAGAAATCTGAATCGCAAAGGATAGTGGAACATTGCGTTTCACAGGCTATACGGACACGTGTTGTACAGCAATACGTGACAGGTAATCGAGAGCAGTTAAATTCAGGAATTTCTTCCATCATCGAGAAATCTTCCCCATGTACGAATTTGATGGATATATAAAGCATAGCTGATGATATTATAAGCATATCGCCTAAGAACTAGTCTTCAATCAAGTTTAAATTAGGTTGATGGTTTTGTCAAAAAAATCACATAAAATTAAAGTACGGATTTAGTTCGCAATTAAAATTGGATATTCTTTCTTTTTTTTTGAAAAAGAAAAGGAATGGGAAGAGCTGATGATATGATAATAGGAAATTTTAATTATGAAATTCTTTTTCATATTATTTCAAAAATGTCATTTCTCAATTTCAAAACTTGTTTTTGCTTTGGATTTTTCTAGGAAATTATAAGAAAAACTGAAGTTAGGAAGGTTTTTGCATTTTTTTTCGATTTTTGGACTTTCGAAATGAATCAACATTTCCATCTTTTCTTACTAAGATATTCGAGGGAAAATTCTTCAAATGTTTTAGAAAAATTTAGTTTGTAAATATAATACAAAGGACGAGTCACAAAGAATTTAGTAGAGTTTTGACAAAGTACTGGTCATTGATAATGAAGAAGAAAGGCAACAAAATGCGACATATCTAATTTATTTGGGATGTCATCAACGTCTCATTTATTTTCTGAGACAATTAAATTCGATTTACTTGAACGAATGGAATATTTCGATGAGTTTCTTGTAAAACATTGTTTGTATGTAATATCAGCGTAAATTTTAAAAAAAACTTGCGGTAAATTAGAAGAGAGTGTATAAATGAAGCGAAAAGCTGAAAAGTAGTTCATTTTCAAGGGAAAAAGAAGCAAGAATGATGAAATGAGAAGGAAATTGCTAATGGATTCAATCTTGTTTTGACAAAATTTCAATGGAGTTTTTTTTTTTCCATCACCATATGACAGATAGAGAAAAAAAGTTGGCTATTTGGTAAAGCAATTAATTTATTTGATGTAAGGTGTTAGAAAAAAAAAAACTTGTATTTTGTAGAGTTTAAATTGAAAGGAAATGTGTAAACTGAAGTGATGGAATGGAATATCCAATTGCCTTCATCCATTACCCTCGTTAAATTAAATCTGTCAGTAGCCCTCGGCAAAAAAAAAAAATCGGAATATACCAGAATGTAAAGTTGTAATTAAATGAGTAAAGACAATTTATGGCTGTAAAAAAATATTCAGTATCTCTGAGCTAAAAGAGCAATATCAAAGGAATGGAACAAAAATATATCCGCTTTTTCTTGTAGCCATTATCCAGAAATCCTGTATAGTATTTAGTAATGGTCCTTGAATACATAAATATGTCCGATCACTTGATACAATAACATAAGATACATGAATATAATCATTTGAATTTGCAATTTCAAATTTATAAATTCCAATCTTCGATATTTCTATCTCTTTCTAAAAATCCAGTTTTATTTTACTGCTTTTTACACTGATCATAATGAGTGATAATTATTAAACTTTTGTTTTACTCTCTAGTTTGATATCTTCGAACCTGCAATGTATGAAACAAAAAGATGTAAGCTAATTAAAATACATGCAAACATTTAATATAATATAATGTGTCGGAGACTTCGTTTAGTCAATTAACATTTAATTTACTTTATTGTTTACTTTTTTTTATTGTTTTACTTTATTGTTTTTTTTTTCATTTATTTTGGTCAATTAGCACTTTTATTTACTTATTTTTTATTGTTAATATTACCCGGATGAATTCCTTATTTCAACCTTGCTATCTCAGTTTCTGTTCATTAAAGAAAACATGGAACGATTCATGCCAAAGTTCCAGATGCTATCCTTCTATTGTAGCATTTTCAGGATTATAATTTTTGATTTGCTTACAAATCCCTTCAGTATTCCATGTATACCCTATTTGCATCCATTCTTCTTGAACGTTTAGGTTTGCTAGTTAATTTTTTTCCTTTTCAAGTTGTTTTCAAAATAGCATAGAAATTTTGGATGAATAGGTATGCGTACATTATCACACTTTATTGTGCCTCCAAAATTAAACTTGAAATATGTACCACAGTTGCCTTATAAACTTATACAAATAAGAAATGAATCTCATCCATGCTATGAGTCTTTTTAGATCTTTTTTCAAAGTTATGAATTTTGCATAGTACTTATAAATTACATTATAGTGGTAACTTTTTTTTCAAACGATTTTTTATTGTTAAAGAAAGGAAAAGCTTCATAGGAATCCTGGACATGTTGATGAAAGAAAAATTATCAAAGTTATGGAAAAAATCTACTGTGGAAAATTCCAGAAAATATCTGTTGTGAAAAATCTCAAAAAATATCATCTATCATGGAAATTTCCAGAAAACATCTGTCACGGAAAATTTCAGAAAATATTTACATCTCTCCAAAAACACTCGAATATTCATCCTACAAGATCTGTTTTCATTTGAATTTCTCGTGAGGAAGAAATCCGGTCACCAGTTTTCAACTCCTTGATGAAAAAAAACATTTTTTTGATTTCGCCGTCTTTTTTTTTTCGATTTTGCTATCGGTTTTATTAACTGATATCTCTCGCAGCCATTACTTTCAATTGCTGCTAGTTTTTGATAACCTAATGCTGAACAGAATAGTATGTCTCTTTTAAATGTGTACGTACGTGTAGGTCACGTATGTGTACGCATATTGCATACGTATAGGTGAAAAGGATGTTACGCACGGTATTTATGACTTAGTGTGAATAACATGATGTATGTGACTTACATTATGTTATTTGACTTACTTATATGCAACGTACGTGTATGTAACGTACAATACCTGATGTATTTGTGACGTATTTGTATATAGCGCATATGTTACGTACGCGTTTGTAACATAGTGTATGATGTGTGTGTGTGTGTGTGTGTATGTATGTATGTATGTATGTATGTGATAAGTTTATTTGTTGCAGTGCTATGAGCTGAAGTTAACGTTTAACGATGAAATGTTTGAGTGCAATTTTTTCCAAAAACTAGAATCCTTAACAACAGAATTGAAGTGATTTCGAACAGATATATTTGGTTAATTTAAAGGGAAAATCAGAAACATTACTTGACGATTTGTTAACTTTTATGAATGGAAGTATTAACTACTTTTCCGAAGATTCGGTTAAAATAAATATCATATGTCCTAAATAAAAATTATAATTTAAAAGCAATGGATTTAGTAATTTCATAGTATGAGCAATTAAAAATATTTTACGAATATGAAATTAATGTAGAACAGTGATCTGATTTCCGAAAACTTTTATCATTATATAGAAAATGAGGAAAATGGAAGGTCACATATCATGCTCAGAGATAAAATCAATCTTTTACTGTTTCATTTGATAAGCAGATAGTGATGAGCATTACTGAATAATCAGTTTTCTTTTATCTGCTGGTTTTAGAATGCAATTTGAATTTGCTTACGAAAACTTATTTTTCGAAAACTTATTACGAAAACTTATTTTTCGTCGAAATGAAACTCTTCCAAGTGCAGGAAAGCTTTGCTTATGGCAGTTCTCTTGGATTATACCTTATTTACTGGTTAGTTAATTGATACTTCCTTTGAAATCAATTTGCATACCAGACTATATAATGCAATACGAACATACGTTGCAATTCTTGTAAAGTCGTATGTAGAAGATTTATTAATTTCGAAGAGGATGACAGTTATGGCAAAACTTCTTCTTATCATATTTTGCATTTCTAAAAAACTTTAATGCATGCAACATATTTGTCGTTAAAATTAAATTGATAGCTTGCACTTCAAAATTATTGCAGCTAACGAATTATCTGGAACGAAATCTGTTCCCATTGCGCTTATTATGTTACACGCAACGTGAATTACTTAATGTGCCGCACGGTGAAAAGATTGATTTGAGCTCATGTCGGCAAGAATTTTTTCTATCATCAGGACAGAAATTTAATGAGAGAAACAAATGCTTATATGAGGAACCTTTTCGAGTTCTTGTCACTCCAAGGATTTCACGTGATGTAGAGAGAGTGAGCGTGGTCCGCAGTGCACCATCGGCGCATGAATATCGTAATTATATTCGAGAAACGTGGAAATCCGATATGGAACCAGATATTCCTGTTATTTTTGTCCTTGGTACTGATGGCTATAATCCGAAAGAAGAAGGCGCAATTCATCAGGACATCATGCAGTTCGATTTCGTCGATTCATATTTAAATCTTACACTTAAAGTAACTTTAGCATACAAGTATTTTTTCGAAAACTTTCCTCATTTAGAAGAAATTGTTATGATTAATGACGACACTATCGTAAACGCTACGGCTATAAGAAAGGTATTCATATCTTCATATTCTGAACTGATTTTGAATAAAATTTAACTTTTTCATCTTAAATATTCATCCTAGTCTTATTCTTTCCAGTTTTACTCTGATGATTCTCGAGTAAAACACCCTTTGTGAAATTTTCAAATCAACATTTGACATTTGACCACACATAGCCAATCAGAGTGGTCCATTATGTGCCTGTTTTAAATTAGTTAAACCTAAGAAAGCAATACTGTGATTATTTTTAACATTTCATACCCTTTGAGGGACTTTCTCTATGAAATCGTCTCCAGAAATGCGTGTCTTCCTTCATCTAAAGAACAAATATTACAGATAAATCGTATGAAAGGCGCATCATTATACGGGAAAGTATCACGCGGCTATCCGAGATTATTTCTGAGTTCGCTAATATGGTATATACCATATGAAATGTATCCGAAGTTGTGTTATCCTCCATTCGTACAGGTTTTACTTTACATTGAAAAGCTTCTTACTCATTTTTTTAAACTTCAAATGGAAGGATACCACAAACTTTCTTCTTCCTTGAAAGTCCTAGCTCGTTTATCACTTTGCAAATGGACCAGATTTTCACTGAAAAATTAAAACGAACCTTACGTATCATTCTCATGAAATACGCTAACAATACCTGACAGTAGCAGAAGAGCAAAATTTCATGATGACCAAATGAAATTTACAAGTGGTGATCAAGCTTTGCATATTCTTGCTATTTACGACACAAATACTTCTGAGCAGTTGTAACACCCATTTTAGGTACTTAGTACTTTACAATTAGTGCGATCCATGTGATGGGACAGTACTGGAGGCAAGTGACGGAATTTTAGGTATGCAGATTCCCACCAGGAAGGTAATCAACCTCTTAATATCAATCTAATTGAAGTTTATTGTTGAGTGCTTGCATTTGTAATTGGATTTCTTAATCACTTCAGGGTTCAGGCTTTATTGTAACACGTAAGGCAGCGCAGCGTATAGTGGATGGCATTTGTTCATTTCCACGATTTAATCTCGATGACGTCTTTATGGGTATTCTGGCCAGATGTCTGAGTATCAATATGAAACATTCGAATGGCTTTGACGAATATGATTCTAATAATGGTTTTATCATTTTTCATTACCAGTGGTCACGGTATTCGGTAGCACAGTTGAATTTTTTGTATCAAAAGACACTTCGGGATTCCTAGCCGCGAGTCGCGACAAATGAACAGACAATATTGTAATTATAATTATTGGTATATATATGTATGTAAGCAAAAATATAAATAAAGAACTATTAGAAAATATTATAAATAAAGAACTATTAGAAAATTTTATCTTTACAAAAGTTACTTTTTTTCCGCATCCTTTTCTGCGGAATGGAATTTTCACCGACTTTCTACTGTTTATTGTTTTTTAAATTACAGTTATAACTATAATTGTTTTAAAGTAATAATGCTGAAGCTATCATTCCTGAGTCATTACAATCATTAGTATGCACAAATCATAATCAGGTTAATGGAAGAATTCCATGACTTATTATAACTTTACAAACTTCGAAATTTCTTGGAAAATAAACTTTTTACTTTACGCTGATTCCATTTGATGTGAAAAATAGAAGAATCTATCGTTATTCTTTCAATCGATTTAACCGTTAAAACTGGAAAATTTCTCACCTGATTATCGATGAAATTTCGATGAAACTAATAGGATTGAACTTTCACTGATGTCACTGCTTTATTCCTATCACTGCTTTATTCCTATGCCGGAAGTGGAAGAAAAGTCGGAAATACAAATTACAATTACAATACCGAATTAATGACAAATTACAATACCGAATTAATGACAAGTTCCTAACAGTTGCTGGTTATTATAGGATTTATAAAATTAATGAAGGGATGAAGAAAAATAATAAGTATTCGAGAAACTCCTAACTGTCTGAGAAATTTTTCCACCAAGTACTTCTAGTAAGAATTTACTCTATCTACTGGTTCCGAGAATTTTCTATTTGAGGCCACTTGATCTATTTGTCATGATTTCTCCGCTTTATTGTTCAGATAGGCTTGGACAGAAAAATGAGAAATGAAGGTAGTATATATATGAAGCTGACAAAAATATCCACGTTAACAACGAATGCATAGAAATTACATACTGAGAATGCATATAAAAAGTGGCATTAGAAAGTTACTGACATCTATTCTTTTCCCCAAGTAATAAAGTATTCCTGATCATAACCGGATCATCAGGAAACAAAACATCAAGGGCATCATTGATTCGATTGCAAAACTCATTCAAACTGAAGTGCTGTTCAAAACGTTTTCGCTGCAATGAACACAACAATCATTTTCTCCATCAATAGAGTTATCCGATTTGCCGGTTATTTAATGCAACAATCTTCCAAACGACTGTAGTGGACATGGTCACTCACGAATTCTGTCCAATATAGCCACTAAGCTTGATCCATTCATTCAAGTAAAAGCAAAAAAGAAAAATTGTTAAACGAAGCATAAAAGATTCCATAAATTTGATTTAAGCTGATTCTAAATCAGTGAGGGCTATTTGAAAAGAAGAATAAATGACCCCTACCTGATGCTCATAGATGTCATCATTATCAAGAGCAGGCCATGAAGTTCGTTTCATGTGTTCTTCCATGGCAATTGCTAACAGTTTTCCTTGTGGAGCAGCTATCTATGAAAGTGACTCTTTTTAAGAAATAAAACAAAATTATTTCTACTTCAATTTCAAGTATTAAATGAGCTTTTAAAAATGGAGCTATTTTTGTCTGACAAAAGAACAGTTGCTTATATGAAAAGTAATACAGAAGTTGTTTAGGGGAATACTGATGATATAATATGGTATGATATGATATTAACTGATTACTAGAAAATGTTCGCTTTTCTTTTTAAAATATATAAAGGCAATTTTAATACGAAAGTTGATATGAATTGATATCATATCATACCACATTATATCATCAATATTCCTTAAGTTTTGAATGATAACTTCAATGGCGATATGATGGAGAATCCAGCTAAACAAGTGATAATATTGAAAACAAATTCAATGCATTCCAGTCGATAGCGCCGATTAGAAAAGATGCAAAAGGTAAAGATAAACTGCGTAGAAGAAGAAAATACACTAAATTAATTGAAATCTTTCTCAGAAATACAAGCAAATTTAGATTCTATGACAACCCAAAGAGAAATAAGCAATAGTTGTCAGCAATAGTTGTTGGAAAAGCACCAGCTTTCCGCAAGGCTGTTGCTTTTCCATTTGTATCTCTGTTATAATTATTGCATACTACAACAGTCTTCTTGTTGAAAACATTGAGACACGACAATGTAAAACCTCATGTGACAAGGGTGGCATCAATAAAAAATAAGGCAGTTAGATATCCATTGAGTTTAATAAGGCCAACTGATCATCTTCAAGTCAGTTCAATATTTCTTTTTTTTGAAAGATAGCCAAAGCGGTTACCAGAGTTGTTCAATAAAAAATCCAAGACTATCAGCGAATGAATCAAAAAGGTTTCGAGATGATAAAGCATCATTAATATCAATGATGATTATTTAGATGATTAATGTGTCTAGAACGTTCTAAGCCATATTTCATAGGCAACAAAAATAAAGATTCTCGTAATCCCATGCAACCGTACAAACATTGAAAAGAAAGTGACCTTTGAACCAGTTACTCCTTCCACCACTGTTTCCGCTGGACCGCCACTATTACAGACTATAACCGGCCTACGTTGCTGTAAAGCTTCTAGAGGTACAATACCAAAGTGCTCATTCGGTGGTGTGTAGAGAACTGTATCACATTCTCTATACAAGGCGAATTTTTCCGGATCTGTGGGTGATTTCACGAATTCCACAATGTCATCAACATGAAATAGAACAGGCAAAGGTATTATCTGTGGATTAAAAATACCAATACTTCACTATGAAATCAGCCGTTATCCAATTGATTATTTTCATTTAAGAATTCGGTCAGTATTAGAGAAAATATTTTCGTTACCTTCAGATCGCGAACCATTTTTTGTAGTAAATTATAATAAATAAATGATTCAGGTATATAAGGCATCACGGAACCAGCAAGTACAATACGTGGCCGCATCTTAATGTTTCTTTTTATTAGTGCTGCAAAGTAGTACAACTTTTAAAGTATTGTTGGCATAATTATATCTTATGTTTATTCGTTACCACTCCTTATATATTAAAGTACAATGTTAATTTGTTCGCAACATTCGGAAAATAGATTTCAAGTGGCTTTAACGTTGTTCTACTTTGGTGGTTACTTTGATAAAGTATTCAAACGAGACTTCATAAGAAGCATATAATGTTACTGATAATTTTGGTTAGAACAAATGATTGTCACTCTAAATTACCAAAGTAACTAATTGCTAAGTGTTGCATGAGAAAATGAAGTTTCCAGATATAATTAAAATAACTAGAAGAAGAGATTACCAGCAGCTTGAATAATTATATCCAGTTTTTTCTCTGGCCAGAAACGATTTATCGATAAGAATGTGTAACGCTTATTGTTAGACTGACGTTGTGTGCGACTAATTGGTTTACCTCCAGTTTTAACAGCGTCAACGTCACATGGAGGATAAACTACTATTAGTCGGGATGGATTCACTTCTGGCATTACACGAAGAAATTGACTTTCTAAATGAAACCTTAAAAATCTTTCGAAACGATTCCAGCTGTGACGTAAAATTTTGTTTTTCAATAATGTAATTCAACTTTTTGGGAATCTAGGAAAGGAAAAGACGAGCTTTGAGAAGTTAAATTGAAAATCAGAAGCACAAACTTGCATTCTTATGGTTTAACAAGTAGCTTCATTTGGAAGAATACCTTCCTCATTAAGCGTGACTTTTACTTTCTTTGCACAAACTATTACAGTCAAATTAGGTAACCAGTTACCTGTAAAATGACTGTTAACCATAATGAGGTCAGCTTGCTGGAATAGCAGACCTTCGATTAAACCAATTATTCGCGAATACCAACGATAGAGAAAAAAGCGTGTAGGTGTGACGAGCTGTTGCGGGAAGTGACAATAAAATAAAATTTTGACCTTTGGAAATCGCCATTTTAGCATCGGCAAACAACTGTTAAACAATCCAGGATTATGCATTTCATGTGTTGTTGCTATTAAAATGCTATACAAATACGATATTAGACTTAAATTTTAACAACAATCAGTTGCAGTATTATTGATTACGCATAAAAACCCATACACATATATGCGCGCTTCCTGACGGATTGTTGCAGGATTTCTGGCACAATGATTAGAAGAAACCTGCAAGAGTGTTGCAGATCGTAATTGTTTTTATTCATGTACCTTGCACTGTGATCAATGACAACAAGATCAGGAACAAGACCGGAAAATATAAGTTGCAAAGCAAGCACTACATTCTGTGTCCACCAATCTCCAGGATGCAATGGCAAATTTGCATTGCGTATTTCTGAAAGATATTTTTTCCAAACATAGTTTGTTAATTGATCAAAGTCGAACTTACTAACAAGCCTGCGTTACCAATCGTTAATTTCAAAACCAACAACTGGTCGGAACAATGCAACATGGCTAGTGTATGATCCCGAAGCTATTAGTAGATCAGATTAGGATGAAGTAATCAGTTTTAATTTGTTTAAAATTTCATCGAAATTAATTAAGTAATTAATATCTGTGGTTCTATTTCCGCCTTTTTTTTTTGAATATTTCTGCGAAATTATATTGCATAATGGATGTTAACAATAAAATTGCTCGCTGAATAATCGTCTACAAATATTTGAAAGTTAACGTTTCAGGTGACAAGAATCTCGCATGTTCATCTCTACGACCCATACCTCTTGTTACTTATTTACTTGCTGAATTCTCTAATCGGGAATCTGAAGCTCATTTCACTCGAGATTTTCAAACTCGAACGATGGCTTAATCAGGTTAGTACTGAATTCAATTACAACTTTAACAGTTCCAGTGTTTAAGATCTATCCTTTTTCTATACAACTTATGCTTCTTCTCAAATTATGTTTTCTCAAGTGTACAGATATGAAAGGTACACGTATTCTTTGTTGTATAATTGCCTTCAAACTTATGTTAGTTCAATGAGCAGAGCAAATTGATAAAATAGATAGAAATGAAAATAAAAAAGACTAACCCACGTTATCGAACTCTTCAGCATTCCAGTAGCAGTCGATCATCGTCGTGTACCAAATAACTCGATGCCCCAGTTCAACGAAATGTTTAATCATCCCGAGTGTGCATCGGTCTGAGCCACCGTTCCATTGCTCAGGATGCAGGATGACGACGAGCATACCTTAAGTTGTTAATTCCAAAGTTGATTATTAGATACTAGCATAATGCAAATGCCCACCGACATTAAAGAAAATTTTTAATAATAAATTAATGTTAGCGTGAATAATAATTACTTTGCAAAGGAAAGGAGGAAGTGGTCACATACTAATGCTTAATTCTCCTTTCGGACTGAAATCTGATCAGTGAAGATCCGAAACCTTCAGTTTGCTAAATCTAATATGTTATGCAAGAGACGCTTATCAATTAATCTTCGTTTTTTCTCTTGTTTACTTTCCTTTTCACCTTTTTCATTCTCTACACTTTATCTTTTCTGAGCCTTGTCTTTCCCTATGCCTGAGCAAAATTCCATATATATCCGAACCACCATATTTCAATCCCCTTCCCTTATACTAATAATCCGTAATTATAAACTAACAAGGAGGCGATCTGTTTAGATTTAAATGCTACAGGTTACCGAGTAACATGTTGAAAAGACGAACGGTTTGCATCAAAACCGGTTTAGGAACTCTTAACGGATCTTTTTATCAAAGTTAATCTGTTTGGAATATGGCAAAATTATTTTTAAATCTAAAGCTTCAACAGTCGCTTCTTTCTCAGCTGTTTATAGAATAGCTTGGCATTTCCAATAATCATACTTCAGTCAGAATACTGAAGTTATATCCGTAAAAAACGTGAAGGGATCAAGGTACAATATGAGAGTGATGTATTCAAAAGAACTAAACAGCGATGAAAACATACGTAATGATAACAAGCATGATAATCAAGGGAGGAAAAAGATGAATTGTCGGCTTTACTGATTTTAGACTCTATCCAAATTTTTGCTTGTTTTTAGAATACTTACTCCGGAATAATTTTTCCCTTTATGAGGAGCTGCATAAAAATGAAATGATGAAATAATATAGCGAATAATGAAGACTGATAAGCAAGACTTAAATATTACAGTTTAAATAACACTGCAAAGGTTACTAATTGAAATTTCTTTGATAAATTAAAATACAATATTTGGGAAAGTTTGAACATTTCGTTGCTTCTTAGTGACAAAAGGCTCTTATAGTTTTAATAGTCAGAAAAAAAATTACGAATTCAGAAGTGAACGAATGGTTAAGCTTACTTAACTGAAATCGATGGCCTTCATATATTGCCGATTTCATTTCAATCAGCTTATTTAAATCTTTTTTTAAATGAATAAATATTCCGAACATATTCTTTTCCGTAAAACTTTTTTGCATCCCGCATTTTCAAAATGCTAGTTTAATATTTTAATCATTGTAAGCCTATCATATAACTAGTTCTTCAAATTCAGAACATCCTAATACCCTACATTAATTTAAAGTAACACATCTGAACATATCTGATTTCGAATAAATACAAAAAACAAGAAAAAAATCAACAATATTAATCAGTAAAGACATAAGTATTACAATAAATTCGTAATACAAAAAACAATCTGAAAGAAAACATTGCTCAATGATTAATGTTTTACAGTACATTTGACAACAAAACTTGAGACTGACCATAATAGATTGAAAGGATTGGGTAAATTCAGTGGTCATTGAAGACCTTCAATGACATTTTACAATCTTTGGTAATCAAAAGTCTTCTTCATTTCTTTTATTTGAAGTTTCATTCTGTAGTCAGAAATTCATCTCGAACGCCAATTATTCCCATCCATTTATGTGTATTGAACCTCGGCCCTTACACGTATCGATGATGCATGTTCGTAATATGGTCCTTGACCTTTCTACTAAGCACTTTCCACTTCACCCTATAAGATTCTGAATCTTGATTACTCATAGTGATGGAATGTTTCGGGAAGATTTTAGTATTTAATACTGAGAATCTTAATTATAGGAAGCTTAGAAAATACTGTGGGCTGTGTCATTCCTTCATGCAATCTGTACCTGGTGTCATCCTTCTTAAGCGGACTCGTTTTAATTACTTTGTGCACTGAGTGTGACTTAATTATTTCATTTCTTTTTTTCATCTATCTGATGTTAAGTTCTGATGCCGATATTGAGAGAATGAGGTCATCCACAGTTCTGGTGCAGATATATTATCAAAGTGTAGATTTGCAAAAAACAAGACCGAGGTTCAAGAATTCTTTTTTATGTCTTGAAATATCGATTGTAAAGCAACTCATATTTTAGCATCACTTTAAACAAAAAATGTTCAAAAGTTAACTTCGGCCTCTTACGGGCCTTCTATGGTTCAGAAATTTTTTCTCAATATTCTCGACGATAAGATAACGAGCCTGAGAAGCTAACACCAGAATAAGAACTAGTTAGATCGAGATTGTGACAAATCAGAAAAGAAAATTGTTTGCGACAAAAATGGTCCTGCTAACTTTTTTTACGCCTTTTTTTTAATAGCAAATAAATATCTTTTTGTCCAATTAAAACAATTTCTGAGTGTGACAAACAGAGGGAGTTAATCAGATCATTAATCAGACATTTGAAATACTAATATATTCCAAAGAACATTGCTCAAATAGCTTTCGTTAATGTAAGAAAACTTTTGATTTTTTCTGTAAGTATGCTAAAGCTATTATTTTTTAACTGCTGATTTGCAAGAATTCTAGGGAAGCCGGGTATAGGTGGAGTCAATTATTAAATAGATATTCTAAAGCAGGCGAACCTTATCATTTTCCAACTTATTGTTAAAAACTTTGTTTGCACCTCCCTTAAATGAACGATATCATGTTGGCTGATTTAATATTTATCAAATAAAAATGTGCCGGAGAGAAAGTTCTTTTCTATTTTCTTTTTTTAAAAGAATAATATTTTGCATTTAGAAAAAAGTCACAACTAATCCTTTCATTTAAAATGTTTTATTTTTTGCAACCCGAAATTACGACTGACTTGATGATTATTAGAAATGACCAAAGTATAATTTCAACACAATACTTCTTTTTTTAGGACTTATTAAACTGTCAAATCTACAGATCCTAATTTGTTGTTGCTGATAATACGTTGAAGTTCCAACAACAGTGACTGTAAGTGATTGAAAATCGGTCTTTGAAAGGATAATTCAGTTTCGGAGCGAAAAAGACCACAACCTTTCGATGCTTTTTAACTTCTATCCAACTTTTCTTTATTAATCTAATGTTATTTCTGGGATTAGAATTCAATAGTAATCGAATACGAGAATTGAATGAATTTCCGAATATATAACTTATCTTGAAAAAAATGAGATTCCAAATGGAACAAAATCAATAAAAGTAATACTTAATTTATTTTTTAGAATGTTAATATTCCATTGTACAATTATAGTTAGATTGAAATAGACAGTTTAAGGAATCCCCATCCATGACGCAAATGATCAGATCTCACAATAACATTCAATTTCCTCTTATCGTTGACACAAGATTTCGAAATTTTACAATACCTGTTCATCTCCAACCACTGACTTCTCGCCGAATTTTCGCCGTATCCACCAAATAACCACCGAAAGAGGTATGCACAAAAATATGGTGATAATATACAAGTAGAAGAGTAGAAAACGTCGCACATTAGAGACCATACTACAATTATTAATGACTTCCCACCCACAAATGACTAGATTCCAATGATCAATGTAATAACAACAATACTAGCAGTATCAACGATCGTTTGTATCCTACAACAATGGATGACATTTAAGAGAGAGTTGTGGCATCAGTGACTGGAAGGAGATATATGCATAGTCAATCACTCTTAAAATTGATTTCTAATCACTGATAGATGTGCTACATCTCGTTGAACCATATATAGTAAATACGAGAAGAGGACAGTGACCTAATTTTTTATTCAAAATCATTCCGTTAATTGTATTAAGTGGTAATAAGACAAGAATACAAAGGAATCACACGCGACACAGACAATGAATTAATTAGGAATACAAATGATTCAGTTGGAATCTTCCGGAATGAACTAAGTGGGCGGCTGAACTACATTTCAGATTCTCCACTCTTCAAATCATCTTTATCTCTCCTTTAAAGTAAAGCTGTTGCTGGAAATGATAGGCAATAGAAGCAAGTCGAATAGATCTGATAGAAAAAATGATTTTGAAATATTAGAACATCGGATCCCTAATATTTCTCTTCTGTATAGCTGAAGTTAAAAACTGTTATCCTATTTTAACTAGCTCTGTTTTTTTTTTCAAATCATCTTTAGTTCGTAATATTATCCACGAATAGCAGGTAGCAGGCATAAACACTTATCACCAGTGTATTTTAGAATTATCGCAGCGACATTTAATTCTTATCTCACCGCCAAAGCTCTAAGAAATCTTTCAAAGAATATGACTTATATGTGTTAAAGTAATTTGAGATGAAATCATCAAATTCATTTTTCAGTTCAAAGTAATGAAAAAATCATATTTTTTAATTAATTTTAAAGTTATTTAGCAATAAAGCTACTGTAAAATTCGTTAATTTTTCTCGTTTTATTAAAGGTCGTAAAATTCACATTCTTTTTCACGCATTCAAATACCATCAAATATCTAATCTGATGATAATCTTGATACTTGCAATAACCTGGAAAATGTGATATAGCCGTAATATATTGCTGCAAATAAAGAGATGATAAATATAGGAGGGAGAGATATCAATCCATTCCTTTCGAATTAAAATTCTAAATGGAAGTCATCTGAAGATTTCTAGCTTATACCGTATGTAATATTATGAAAAATAATGTACAAATTTCAAAAGAGGAATTACAAATTATTGTATAACAATTGCAAAAAGTTCAAAATTGCGAGTTAATCCTTTGCAAACAACAAACACGATGATTTCAGGTGAACTTGCAAAGATTCTGGAGATGGAAAAGACATATTTCCAAAGGAAGCGGTATTTCCAACATATTATCGTTGATCGATAAGTTTGTCTCAGTTATTCAACAATGACACTTTCCTGCAGATTCTTACGATTATTGGTAAACACAAAATGTTTTGAGAATCAAGGTGAAGAAGGTTCGAAGAAATCTCGAATCATCATTGTATTTTGAAGGAGAGAATCAAGCAAGCAATATAATAGGGATACAATTTATTGATTCAATGGGATATATGATGGATTCACGATATGAATTCACATCTGTGTTGAATGAATTCAATAATAATTTCTCAGCGATGGTTTTTCCTTTTCCTTCCTATCACCTGATATTACTCATAACACTTTTTACATACTCATTGAAGAAGCCTCTCAATAAATCATAGTGGAAAGAGAAAGAAGGTCTGAGAAGTATCAGAACAAAACAGATTTTGAACAGGCGCGTACAGAATTGAACTGAGAGGGAAGCAAGATTTGAGTAGATGGTCCTTTTTGCCAGAGTAATTTACCAAGTATTGCCAGAATTCCAGCTGTCTTCATACCAGAAAATATTCGCGGAGTTTATCTCAGAAATTCTGACTCCCAACTTTTTTGCACAAAAGATTTTTTTGTCACTGCGTATCCAAAGATATCCTCAAGACAATAGCAACCGGATGGAGTAAGTTTCGGATGCCTTCCGATTGTTTCTTCCTCAGCTTAATTTTCACTGGATGCTTGGCCTCGTTTACACATCATTCTTTGGTCGAGATGAGGAAAGTGCAGTAATTAACTAAGTCATTCACCGATCTGATAATTAATTATCAAAAAACAACCAAATTATATATGATAAGAATTTTTAAAAATAAGGAGCATGGTACAGTTAATGTCACCAAGAGTAATAGCAATGGCAAAGAAAAGATTTGAAGTATTCGAGTTCACTTTCAAAAAAAATCGGATCACTTGAATTTTAAACGGATTATATCTAGTGCAAGGACATTATCACACCATCATTGTTTGGACTTTCAATTTGGCTTAAACTTTCGTCACTTCTGTAATCACATTCGAACTCAAAAATGCCAACTTAGTATGTTTTGCTCTCATCCATACTTTCAACCTGCCATATTGAACATGTATGATCAAGTAACAGTAGCACCTTCTACCTTCTTAAATGCAATTTTTTTTTTTTTCTAGATATGTTTGGACGATGAGAGTGTCTCCACTTTTTTCACATCATCTAAGATGGTAATAGGATAATAATTTAGTTAAAATTTTTTTAACTTAGAAGTAAGTAGTAGGGTTTACATACAATTGGGATATAAATATCATTCAGAGAATTAACAATACATCATCATTTCAGTTCGATTTACCAGAAAAGAGAAAAAGCAATTCAAGGAAGCAGTTTTTAACGGGCGATCGAATTTAGCCTTCATCGGTTCCTAGCCTATTTTGTTTTCTTTTGCAGCATTGAAATTTGCAAATTTATGACAATTTTCCATTTTGGCAATAACTTATTTATTTCAGTATCTATTTCTTTTAACTCCACAACCAATAACTACTGCTATCACTTATAAAACCAAAATAAACAAAGGCTTGATAAAACCAAAATAAAAAAAGGCTTGATATGATAAGGACACAATGAAAAAATATAATTTTATTGATGGATAATTTTTTATATCATTATATCCATTTCCTGTTTGTAATTACTGTGCTCTTCGGATATAATTAATAAGGAAAAAAGAAATATTTTAAACTCCCGCAATATTTCTCATAAAAATTGAAATTCCAGATAGTACTAAATCTAAGAAGTGTATTATTGCTGGCAAACATTCCTAAAAAACTTCTTGTTTTTATTTTTCTGTTGATAATAGCCTTAATTTTTATTTCTGTATTAAAAAGTCCCATTCGAAACAGGGAAATAAGGAGAGAGAAAAAGAAAAGCATGCTTTCTATTTGTTTATCAATTTTTGAAAATCCATAGATTAATGAACAAATAAAAAGCCTGTCAAATTAGCTATGTTTGCTGGAAAATGGAATGATTTAATGATTTAATTTTGCTTTATGATTATTAACCAATGAACTGTACATTTACTTAACCTTATTTGCCTAACAATGCAATGCTTGCACCAGATGTACTCAAAATGCGCTTGAAAGCCCATTTAATTCGAAGAGCGCTCTTCATGTCATACATATGTCAATAAGGACGATTGCTCCACAAAGCGGCCAAGTAGAATGACACAATGTACTGAGTGAAATAGTATTATCTTTGATAGGGAATTATGTCACAATGAGATAGATAAGGAATGACAAATATGAATTCCATTCTTATTGTGCTAACAATTCTTTACTCATACAATAATATCATCCCTCTGGATTTTTGCTATCATTTCTAATCTAACTATGTTAAAGCTTCCATCATTTCATCCATACAGATGGAAACATTACCAATCCAAAAATGCCTATTAAGGAAATAACATCCAGAAAGCATATAAGCAGAGCGATAGGCTTTTTCGGTTAGCAAATCCATTTGTTCATTCTATTCGCCGACTCAGCTCTACGGATCGATACATGAAAGAGGAGGACAATTGTACTGGAGCTGCAGACATCAAGCTTGCTGACGGATTCGAACCTTAGAGAGTTTCTACTTGCCAAGTAGTCATTGCAAAAAGGGGACAGCATGTGGTGGCCGATTCTGCCCGCTCTGCTCCTTTACTCACATGCGTCATTCTATGCTATTAGTAAGTATTTTATCTATCTTTTATACTGTTTATTAGCATAAACTTTTACAATAAAATTTCATACTTACTATTCAATGACCATTATATTCTGATTCTTATGTTCAGGTGACAATATGTCTCACTACTATATCATTATTGTTATCATTCAACACTTCTGATATCCTTATCAAGTTCTTTTCTTTAAAGATCGTAATTTTAAAGTGATATTTTTCGTCCTTTTTGAGATAATTGAAAGATCTGAGAAGGGACTGAATACTTTTATAGCATTATCACTATCATAAGTCCTTATCATTATATTTTTTGATTTTTAATCTTGAAAAGAATTAATGAAAAAGCTTTCGGAAGTGTCACATGTTTTGAAGGAAATGCATGATAGGGAGACGAAAGAAAATGAGAAGAAATGAGGGAGTACTCGGTTCTCATCCAAGTTCGGAAAGGAAGGAAACAAAGTTTCTGGAGTTATATTAAATAACTCATTTCACTTTACGATGGCAATCAGTTTTTTGCAAAAACATTGAAAGTCTCCCTTCCCCCTCTTCCCTCCTCAATAAATATTCTTTCCAAAAAAAAAAAAAACGTTGTAACGTTCGCTTGAAATGTTAAATAAATCTCTCACATATGTTTAGAAAAAATCAAATGAAATTTTTAAAATTTATTCAAATATGATAAAACAATTAGCCATTATTTCCTTCCTTCATTAAGAAGCATATTTTCTTAATACATGATAATTATTTCCCAATGTTTTAACCAAATGTCAACTTAAATGTGACAATATTCCTCACTGCTGTTATTGTTATCCTTCAATGCTTTCGATATAAGCAGATGTTGGGCACTCAAATTTCCTTATCTATTTGGACTTAAATTTTAACTAGACTGAGCTCAATCTATACTTATTTTTATTGCATTGTGACCACCATTCAATCTTGGCATTTTTTTTTTTAGATGAAAGATTATAATGAAATTAATGTTAATGGTCATGCAATTAATGGCATGCAATTTGCACTTCTTTGTATATATATATATATATATATATATATATATATATATATATATATATATATATTATATATATATATATATTACATATATTATATATATTATATATATTATATATATTATATATTATATATTATATATATTATATATATTATATATATTATATATATTATATATATTATATATATTATATATATTATATATATTATATGTATTATATATATTATATATAATATATATATATATATTATATATATATATATATATATATATATATATATATACTTTTAATATACTTAATATACTTTAAGTATATTAAAAGTATATTAAATATATATTATTATTTTTAGCCGTTATATATTGATATCACATTAAGCATATTAATATACTTTAATATACTATATATACATAATATACTATATATATACTATATATACATAATATACTATATGTATACTATATATACATA